ACTGTTGCAGCCAGATTGCTAAAATCTGGGCCCTTATTCACGAAAACTTAAACTAAGATACAATCGAAATTTTAAGAAATACTGCAATTCGATTGGCTGGCCAGTAAAATCAATTTTCATATATCCAATGAAGTTGCAGTATTTCTTAAAATTTCGGTTGTAACTTAGTTTAAGTTTTCGTGAATAAGGGCCCAGATTTTATATATAGATAATAACCATCGGTAGGGAAAAATGAAATGAAATAGGGTTTAATATCCTACTGTTCTGCCCCGACTCGGCTAATGAAGACAGACCATTGGTAGGGTCTATATACTAGCGTATAGATAATAACTACTTGTAATTATTTTTATTTATATGTTTGCAGATGTATAAAACCAAATCAGCAAGAGAGTTGTGTTACAGTATTGATACCAGCAAGCGAATTGTGTTATATTTTAACAAAAATAAAAACTGCAATACGAATAAAAATCCTTTAAAAAAAGTTTTAGAGACACTCGAATAAACTATATGGTTCAATTGTATTTCATTAATTCGCGAGCAGTGGGTGAAACCGGAGGACCTGGAGAAATCCCACGAGGTTGGACAAGCGACCCTTCTCCTTTTCACATACACGCGGGGAATCGAACCCACGCCACTTGACCCAATGACAGATCTTATGATGCAACGCACATGCGTTAACCATTTTGCCACACCCCACAAATTGTTTAAGAAAACTAAATCATGTTATCAAATTTACTGTAGATAATATTGCGGATGGGCTCAAATAGATTAAAAATTGGTTCATATCAAGATTTCAGCGAAGATTATAGATGGTGACATCAATCTCATTAAAATACAGATCATATATCGTTTCGTTTTTATATACTTTCGATGGACTTTACTACATAAAGATCTGACCGGTTGTAGTGAAAGGTCGCGTCAGAGGTCATACGAGCGATTAATCAATCAGCGTTGATGTTTCTAGTGAGTTACCCACAGTTCCGTTCACCTCACATGTACGATAATGTGTACGGTGCGATGGGGCTGTCATTTAACCATACCCCGTTTATATCTTGCTCTTAATTCAGTGTTCTTAATTTTTATAGGTTTTTTTTCGGTGTCTTAACTCTTTATTCAGTGTTTTTAATTCTTATTTCTTCATTTGTTGCCGTATCTCGACATGTGTATACAGAAATTAACATTTGTATCTTAAAATCAAGCCTTGTTTTACAAATCAGACATTTGTCATACAGATTTGTAAATTATATCTTTGTTTAATGTAATTGTATTTCAATATAATGATAGAAAATACAAAAAAAGTTACATTATTGCATTTCATCAGAAACATACACTGAAAAACAACACATTTTCAGATAACACCAGGATCGAACACGGTACCACCAGTTTAGCGAACCAACGTCTTACTCGGCCGTGTAAATAATAAATTATTATCGGACTATATCATGTACATACTTAATGTATGGTGTATTGTTATATAAATTGTGTGTTTACGGGCCGTAACATGGACAATGATATAGTCATCCATAAAACATGAACTACCAGGATGTGATTTTTTTTATTACACACAAATGAAAACAAAAGGGGTGATCACCTTGAATTTAATCAATAATAAAGTATTTAAAGATACCGTCCCGCGTACAAATTGGGTGATTTGATGATATATTTGGACTAAAAAAAACCATTTAAACTAATTAATCTATCAGAATTTTACTTGAAATCCTTCTCAAAACATTGTATTCGACAGGGAATATTCCGGCTATAAAAAATCTATTAAACGAAGTCATGTTTGTGTCGCGTGATTTGGCTGACGCTGTACCTACCAACAGGTGCGATGCCGAAGGAGATTTTTTACATATACAAGACGATGTTGTCTTTAATCGCTGTCTATTTATCATAAATATCGAAGCCTAATTAAATTACCGAATGATCCACTGTCCATGTCTTTTTACGTGTTTTTTTTATCCCAGAAACTGTTTATAAGGCTCACCACCAGGTTTATAAACATATACATGAAGCGCTCACTCGCTGAGAGAACAAACAATCTTCGCGTGCAATTGGAGTAGACATCCCTAATCGTCGTGTTTTTTCAGGGAATCCAGTATTTGTCTAGTAAGATTGAATGTTTCTACTTTCCATATATACCAAAATTGTCATACTTGTATTGGAAATAACCACCCGATAAATACTTCTGTGGGAAAGTGTCTTTAATATTGTATAGTCATCAGTCGGTGGTTGGTCTAACATAGGTACTTACTACTTACAACCAATTAACATATTCATTATTTAGAATTTTGCCCCACTCTCATCATATTCATAATTTATTTTTTAAGTGTGTTCATATCGAGCTCACAAACAAAATGTGAATTCATGTTAAATACAATTATGACATGCAAATAATGTTTCAATACCACCCTCGTTGGAAGCGGAAGTAAACCCCTTCAATTGCAGTGTCATTTCTCGTGTCCATATTTTCTGTGATTTCATCATCCAATTGTTGACTTCATTTCTCAGCTAAAAGCAATGCACATGTCTCCCTGCAACATATGTGTGCCCAAAGGGGTGGTGATTTATCCCCAATCCACATTCAAACCACCACCCGGAAGCCATTCCATGACAATTTTCTAATCATAATTTGCGACCAGGATCCAAACTGCACAAAACAAAAAATAATGTGGATTGAATAAAATTCTCATAACTTTTTTATCGATCGGATTTCATCGCTGTATACAGTTTTATTGTATCGCGTCCCCTTATCTCATTAATTATTTTCTTTAGCATGGTATACTCGATTTGACATGGAATTGTCTGGGTATCAATTGAATACGCTTTAACAACGTATTATTATCCGACAGTACTCTTTATAAAACTAGATAGAGGGGTAATAATATCGTGTATTATTAATATAATATAACACAGTGATCAAATAACACACGCTAATAGTTACAATGAAATCTCAATTCCCCTTATCACATTCGTCATGAATCATTATCATTTCGATAATGCCATGTAGTTTACTCTGGGGGGAATAACTCCCAAGACAGCGGCGCCGATACCTACTCTTATATCGAATCCCCAACTGTCAAGAGTTCTTTCACATCCACGCCAATGTGTACACGTGACCTCCGCGTTTCGAACCTTCCGCGCAAGACACCGTCTTGCCAGCACCCCCCACCACCACCTCCCGACCGGCACCACAACTTTCTCGGCGAACACCAGGATCGATATACAGTAATAGTATATTATGTTTCACGTGTTTCACAGGTCTGAAATTATCAGCTTAATAAAAAGTATGATTTACGCTTTGAGCGACTTTATATTCATATTACGTTGAGTTTCGCTCCTGTTTACTCACTACACATTTTTCGTCATCATTATTTATGTATTTATATTTTTGAATTGTCTGTATGTTTGTGTTTTCCTGAGTATGATGTCCTGTCCGTGTATTTGTTTTTGTGTAAATTTTGTGTGGTGCAGTCCCCCTGCACTTACTATTAGAGTCCATATATTTTTCTTACATGTAGAAATACTACGGTTCTCAAAACCACAGATCTAACAACTAAAAAGACTTCAATCGTTTAGACAAGATATTGTTTTTTTTAGCCCCGTTCTCAATCAATCTTACCATTTATTCTACACTTGTCACAGAATAAAGGTGAACCTTGACATCATTAAATATTGGTAATAGGTAGTGTTTAGTTCCAGTAAATACTAGGTGCAGTATATATTATGGGTGTTATGTTCCACTGAATACCAGCTGCAGTATATAAATTATTATGGGTGTTATGTTGCACTGAATACCAGATGCTGTATGGATTATGGGTGTTTAGTTCCACTGAATACCAGATGCAGTATATATTATGGGTGTTTAGTTCCACTGAATACCAGATGCAGTATAGATTATTGTAACACTTTTGTTGAATTTTTGCTCTTAAAATTGATGATAGCATTATATTGTATTGATTAATATCTTTGGAAAGTTATTAGATTCACATATATGTACTTAATGAGTGGCATATTGTTACATAAAAAACGAGTTATAATGTGGTAAACATTCAATTCTAGTTTGATAACAGATCTTCTCCGGTAAATTTCCACTATCTATATAAGGGTGGGGTTTGACGTCATTTGGCTCAATTAACTAATATCTCTAATTATTTACATCATATTTGACCAATTAGATAATTGAAGGTCCAAAACCCAAAGCTACAAAACTATCATACTTGTGAGAATTCGTCAGACAGCATACAGGTTCTGGAAGGGAAAAGGTGTAGCAGTTTCTTTCAGCAGACTCGCCCGTGGTAATGTGGTAAACATTCAATTCTAGTTTGATAACAGACAGCAGATAGAGTCTTGAAGGGAAAATATTTAGCAATTTCTAGAAGCAGACTGACTTTAGTATTGTAATCCGGTCTCAGAAACTTTTCATATTTTATTTTCTTTCAGCACATCTTTGGGCTTTTTAAAAAATATTTGAATCATAACTTGTCGCAAGGTATAAATCCAAGTTAAATTTGTCCACTATTGTTGTAAGAGAAAGGATCCCGTGAGGTGTAAATAAAAAGCATTGATATCAATGGATTGGGTGAAACAAAGTCACAGATGTAAAGCCAATTAATGAATCGTCAAGCTCTGTGTAAGAACATTCTATTTCAGAAATGAAATCTAGCGGAGCTTAACGTCCTACTGTTCTGTCCCGACTGGGCTAATAAAGACTGGCATGTCAAGTGGGCCGGGGGGGGGGGGGATCGACCCCCTCGAAAAAATCTGGAAAAAATATATGTTATTGTACATGTAAAAATCTGGAAAAAATATATGTTATTGTACATGTAAAAATTAAAAGCTGTGCAAAATTTGTGGTCTGTAGCTTGACAATTGACTGAGAAACGAGCATTTGAGTTTCATGAGTTACCGATGAGTTTCAAAACAAAATATGTATCAAATGTGGCTCAACATTTTGTCACATACAAATGGGGAATCGAAACCCCGCCAGTTGACTCAATGACAGACTTTATGATACAGCGCGCACGTGCTAACCATTCAGCTATCCACCCCCACCCCCCTCGATCGAAGTAAAGAGCGATAACAGATACACCGGCGAATTTCTGCTCACTGATAATTTCTCCGAAGACAAACAGTTATTGGCCAATGCCGAAATGGGTTTAGTTTTGTTTTAAAATAAATTTACATACAAATGGATATTTCCATTACAGCAATTATCTTACTTATATACGTCTTTACTTATATGAACAAATATTACACGACTCAGTTATATTTTTCCTAACACTATTCATTCAATTCATGTTTATACAGAAATATAGATATACAGAAATCGGGGATCTGCAAAGTTAGCTGGGGCTTATATAAATGCATATTCCCTCAGAAAGGCATCCGAAGTGGATAATGGTTGAGTTTATTAGTATAGGCTGTCAGGACATAATAAGTAAGAAAATCAGGACACAGCTTGACAGTAGGAAAAAACAATAGAATACTATAACGTATTTCAACCAAGATAAGGTAACTCAAACCAAAAGAAAAGAATACGTATCATAGTTTAAAATGCGGCAAATGAAGCTCAAATGACATATTAAACATCACCAGGACCTTTGTTAGTATAATCAGTAGAACTCAATAAATAACATCAATCTGTAAAAAAGATAAGTAAACATATTTAGGTGACAGATACAGAAATATTTAAGATTTATAATTGTATGGGAAATGTTATTCAACCACACTACTTAAATATGACAATATGTACAGATGAGTTGGACATTCTTGGTATAATAGTTCGCAAATAGATGATTCAAATTTAATATGTTGAACATTCATTCAAATTACTTAATTCTGAGCGATGTTATCAGTGTTTGAAGTTTTGGCTTAGATTGTTTATTATCCCAACTTCAGATGTTAATCGAGACTCAGTCCCGCTTCTCCATTTCTAATTTAAATCATTAAATAGCGATCATATTTTAATCTGTTTACATCTAGAGAGTTTATTATAGGCTTGTCATGTTAATAAATGTCTAAAAATGAAAGACCTACAATGGGCAGATTTAGCTCTTCCATACATAATGCATCTTTAATATCAAATAGTTATTGTGTGTTATTCATTTATGTGTAAACAAGAGAGGAACAGGAGAGAGCCTATACATTTTAAAGAGTAAATTTCCATCGGAAATGGTCTTAGGTGCAAGGAAATCAAATTTAAACTTTCAAAATTATCTGGGGGATATCCTCATAGGGATAACCCCTCGAGGCTTCGCGATCACTCACGCCGGAACAGGCCCCACCCCCTGCTCATTTTTCTGTACAGTGGTTATTTAAAGACTAGTATCTACGAGTGAGTATTATATATAAGGGATGTTCGGTGGCCTTGGAAACTCCACTGTGGGTTCATGATTGTATAAACGCATAGTGCAACGAATGAGACTTTCCTACTGCCTACCTTCCTATGTGTCCAGCATTTCTAAATATCGGAGCGAGGGTTGTCATGAATTTCAATCAGAACCAGCTAGCTATTATGACATGACCGGTTCAATTAAATGTTTTATTTCAAAAGGCACGATTGGGCCTTTAACCTATGGGATAAAGGCGATGAGTCCCCTTTGTCATTCCAACTGTATACAGGACAGTGGACAGGCCTCTGAAACACGACATATCTTTTGTGATATCAGAAATGAAATGGGTTTAACGCCCTACTGTTCTGTCCTGACTTGGCTAATGAAGACGGGCAAACGCCATACAATGTGCCGTAGGGGAAATTTCGCCACGGCCCATTCTTCTATCGAATTCCAACTGTCAATTGGTCTTTTATCTGCAGGCCAATGTGTACACGGGACCTCGACTTGCCACCACTGACAAGGGGGGCCACGCTGGAAACTCCCGATGAAATTTTTCGGCAAAACGCAGGGATCGAACACGGGTTCCCTAAGTTAGCGAGCCAATGTCTTGCTCACTAAGAGGGTACTCGATTGAACGTTCCGGAACTGAATTTTCCCAATCCCAAAATAGTGATAATCGTTGTGTTTAATTACGTCACGATTCTACTCACAACATCTCCGTAGTCGGGACTGACAGAACTGTGAGAGGGCTGAATTCCGCATCACTTGATTGCAATTCTGTCAATTCGGGACGTTCTGGACTGGGAATCGAGCACCCCCTTAGTCACCGTGACTTCCTTGCGATATCAGACTCGGTGGAAGCGGACGTTAAGCCCCACGGATTATACAATCATTACTTGAATTAATCTATAATACAACAGAACATACCATTTGTGTAGCTAATGCTTAGTTTAAAACCAATGCATGCGTTGCTCCCATCTGATTTAAATCGTACAGTGGTGTTGTCACCTGTTGGTATTAGTACGGAGTCTGGTGGTATCCCTCCACAATATCTATAATATAACATAGGATCAGTTGTAGTTATTTGTGCACACGAATAGGACATTGGTTTTTGAATATGTCAGTGTGTTTACATGGTCACGTCACCACTATCTGTATTATATAAACCAATATTTATATTAACATGTAGAGAGAGTGAACTTGACAAATGCGAGGTAGACCAACAAAATCTAAAACTGTAATCAGTTTTGTGGCCCTTTTCTGTTGTGCAAACTTAATTTACATAATCTTACGCGGTCTAAGATCTACATAGACACATTTGAGAATCATGTTATAAAAATCCTGGAAGCAAACTAGTCGACACATTTATTCTATATTTTAGGTTTCTATTTTATCAATTGCTGACAGTTAACTTGTGTTTTAGTGGTTACATTTTAGTATGAATCGTTTCTATACACCCCCATTTCAGTGTGGGCGTATTATGTTGTCACACCGTCTCTCAGTCGGACCGTTAATCCCACACTTAGGCAACAAATGGCTTGGGAATTCGACAAATGCAATCATCTTTTAAATATTTTCTTAACAATTGATGTGCATCATTGTGGTATTAAGAGGACGGACCCATATCTATAATCAGCGTTCCACCACCTATGCCTCTTTTCCAAAAAACCTGTGAGCCCGATAAAGGCTGCAGTTATTAATAACGGTAATGACTGATTTGAAATAACCCATTACCTTACTTCGTGAAGCTCTAGATAATCGAACCGACAAACAGCACCTGTCGCCAGCGGATCATTGCATTTTTCAGAAGTTTCAATGGCATACTGAGAGTCAAGATTTAAATTGATATTTTGTCCAGGTCGCCCAATGATAAGATAGCTTTTAGTAACACCATGTGGATAATGGGCAGGGTAATTCGGTGATTTTATTACTGAAACCATAAATAATGTAAAAGTAAGTTAGTCTTTATACGATATCAATAGTAATGACAATAGTTTTATAATCAATTACATATTTAACGTTAAGTAAGCATCCAGCAGGGGGACACCCGTCGGACATAGCTAAGTGAAAGGATATCTGATGGCCTTAGAGACTCCCTTGTGACGTCTTAATTAGACTGGCACTTGATCCAAAAAGCTCTACTGCCACCCGACGCACAGCCTTACTATATACCAATTAACCCTCTCTCTAGGTCGAAGCGAGGGATTCCTTTAGTTCCAGTTAGCACCAGCTTGCTACCATGACACCGGTCGGTTACATTAGACACTGCATCCCAAACAGGCACGATTGCACATTTAACCAATTGGATGGAGCAACGTGTTTCCTTCCTTTCTCCATCCCCCATTCCCTTAAACCCCAAAACGATGGGGGTCTCTGGAAGGTTTCCGACCCGACTGTTACTTGAATACAATAGAACATACCATTTGTGTAGGTAATGCTTAGTTTAAAACCAATGCATGCGTTGCTCCCATCTGATTTAAATCGTACAGTGGTGTTGTCACCTGTTGGTATTATCATTGGGCCTGGGGGTACCGATCCACAATATCTATAATAAATTCAATTTTAAATATGATAGGTTGTAGTTGTAGGCCTACATGGCACCTGTAACAATATGGTATTGGTTTCATGATTATGTAATTGTATTTACAAGGTCACATGGCCACTATATTCATGTACTTTGTTTACCAATCCATTTATTAACATGTATGTATAGAGATTGGAGAGACAAGATGGTACACGGGGAGTGGCCATTGCAGAGACTAAATCGCTCTGAACTCAACAAATGCGACGTAAGGCCTGACTGATCTAAAACATTCGTGTGGAACCACTTGTTCAATTTCCCCGTCGCATTCTACTATATGTCTTCTTTTCTTATGTCGTACAAACTTCCATTGCATTTACTTACGTGGTCTAAGACCTACATACATTTGGGAATCACCGTTTGAAATTCCAGGATACGAACCAGGCAACAAATTAGTTTCTGCATAGATTAGGTTTCTATTTTATCAATTATTGCAGGCAGATAACTTATGATTCGCCAGTAATTTGACAAAATGCGGAGAGTTGAGATTGATAATGGTAAAGATAGATTTGGCATAACAATTTACCTTACTCCGTGAAGCTCCAGATAATCGAATCTACATACATCAACACCTGTCGCCAGCGGATCATTGCATTTTTCAGAAGTTTCAATGGCATACTGAGAGTCAAGATTTAAATTGATATTCTGTCCAGGTCGCCCAATTATAAGATGACACTTAGTAACACCATTCGAATAAACGCTGGGGTAATTCGGTGATGCTAGAACTGTAACGATAAACAATGTGAAAAGACTTTAATTTTTACGGTTAACAATTGATTGTAATGGTAATATTATCAATGTAATATTTTTATGAACCCCCGTCTAATATTACTTTTAAACCTCGTAAACAAATTGTATTACATAGAACAAAATGAAATAAAATGAAATGGAGTTTAACGTCCTATACTGTTCTGGTCCTAACCTGGGCTAATGAAGACGGGCATACGCCATATAGTGTGCTATGAGGGAAATTTTGTCCGGGCAGCGGCGCTACGGCCTACTCTTATATCGAATTCCAACAGCCAAGGGATCTTTTACGTGCACGCCAATGTGTACACGGGACCTCGGTTTTTCGTCCGAACGACTAGACAGCTGTCCTTGTCAGGCCCTCCATCCTGCATCACTGACAAGGGGAAACCACGCCGGAAAATCTGAATGAACTTTCTCGGCCAATACAGGGATCGAACACCCGACCTCCAGGCTAGCGAGCCAGCGTCTTACCCACTTAGCCACGTGATCCCCATATCACATAGAACAAAAGGAAATGTTGCAGAAATACACAATACACAGTACTGATTTAAAAGTTCCATATTTTAACAAAATACAGCAATCGGAAGGCACCGAAATCTTCTCGTTTGTTTGTCCCCACCCACCAACACACCATTTACAAAGTTTTTTAGAACTAATATTATTATATGATTACATAAATGCAGCTGGAAAATATTTCGGGTGGCCAGTCTCTCTCCGTCTCCTTATAGCCGTGAATAAAATGGATATCAAATTTTTAGTATTTAATGACACATTCAAAATTGCCGGTGTATAAGCTTTTATAAGCCGCTTTTATAAGCTTCTCTGGTGACAGTGGACATGTTATTTTGAGTTCATCAGACATATGTCCATGCTATGTATTTGTTATAAACTTTGGATTTGAGATATATCCGCTAAATAAAAAAAACAAAAAAAAAACTTATTTTAAAAGAACAGAGTGTTCTAGGGTTTTCATCATTATCTGGTTATAGTAAAGTCACGTTGAGGCCGTGATAATGTTCACAATTGAACCAACGTCGTGCACTTGTGTAAGGGTTCGGTGACAGTTAGAGGGGGGGGGGGAGAAAACCCGAAATGTCCCCCTCCTCAAAAGTGCCGGTCTTCTGTGAGAGCAAGACTTACCGTGTAGGAAAAATTTTGGAAAATTTGACGGCTGCAAACGCGTTTCCTGCTATTCTAGCTCGTCAATGCAGCAACTTCAAGGTGGTCCAATATAGCCTAATTAAGATGGTTGACTGGAATTCTAATCAACCAATCACTCGTTTACAGTTTAGTAGACGGTACCGTCGTCAGAAAATTTTGAAAATTTAAATGCCGCAAACGCGTTTTTCTGCTAGTCGGCAACTTCAATGTGGTCCAATATAGCCTATATTGACATGAATCCAAAACAAAACCAATCAATTGTCGTGTCGTATGGGAGCCTCACCCTCCCCGAGAAAATTTTGAAAATTTAACAGCCGCAAATGCGTTTTTCTGGTATTCTAGCCCGTGTGTTAAGCAATTCCAATGTTGTCCAATGGTTTTGTAACTAAAATCCAACTCTATGCCGACCTGAATTCCATCTATCCAATCATACTGTTGCAGCTGGATTCATAAATAATAATCGATGCCCGAAAAATGTCACACAAAGTGTTTTAATTTATAGTCATTTCAGTACATATTCGTGATATTCAATTAAAACGTAAAGCAAAATAAGTGTTTTATTAGATTTCGGGCACTTTATTTCGCCATCTATATTTCACTTTACCCGTCTTTTCATTTTGGCGGTATTGTCACGTGTCTGCCGTGTCGTGCACGACTTCTTTTTGAGTACCGGTATATTAAAATAGACTTTAACGATATCTGTCTGAAAATTATATCTACTTACAGTTATCATCCAGAATATTAGCACATCGACATTCAAAACCACCAGCAATACCAACACACGTCTCATCCGCGTTACTACATGGATTAGAATCACATAAATTAGCTACAAAATAAATACAATATCAACTGTTACTATCATGACGAGATATCCACACTAAATGGCAAGTCTCCGTGCTATAAATATGATGCATACTAGACAGCGTCTGTTTGGTCTTCATGAACTACGCATCAACTCTCTTAAGCAAACTAGGCTTCATATGCCATCACGATCGTGCCCGACTTGCTGCAGAGTTCAGAAAACTCCGGGGTTTCGCTTTAGCGATGAATGTGGTCATCTTTACAAGGATGGATCACACAACCCGGAAAGTGATACCAGTTTGTTTGGAATATATCTACCAATGGAATATACCTACCAAACGGCGGCGGACGTAGACTAAAAATAACGCTGTCCGGTGTATACTGCACGGATAGTGGTCGATCGTGATGCGATGCCGTATATATCCCATCAAAAGACGAAATGAGCAGCCTGATTTTAAACCACAATGACAACTCGAACTAAAGACCAGAACTTATTTTGGATATCAGGAAATGTACCACAGAGTCTTAGAGGACGCGAAAACGCTAGAGCCAGTATGGGGAAGGAGGTTGACACTCTGACACAGCCATTGAACATTTACATAACACTTCCTGTTTCAATAAGCGATCATATAGAGAAATACGACCTGGCAGTTTCAGAGTGAGTGTTGCAAATCCATGCTTTTGCCAAAACAATGTCAATAAATCGGATCCTAATAATCAAAATAGGAGCATCGATTGGTTGAGATTCGGGACAATAAAATGAATAATAAGATTACTTACAACTACATGTTGATCCACCATACCCAGGGGCACATGCACAGGCAAAGTTCCCGTTTACTATTGAACATGACGTGGCACCATTCTCACAAGGAGCACACAGGTCAACTATAATATAATAGTTCATTCCTGTTATATAATAGTTCATAAGTGATCATTTATACGAACACAATTTGACCCAAACTAGAAGTTTCGGAATTATCAAAATAGTTAATTATAACTGTTTAAAATACAGGTTTCTGCCAGGATTAAATGTGTACTCGTATTGATTTTAAAATAATTGAGCCATGAACCGTAAATAACATAGCCTCGAATCCGGAAGTGACAGTCCATCGCAATCAGGCCTATGTTAGTCCCCGTTCCAAACTACCCCTATACACCAAATTTAAGCCTCGGTAAAGTCCTAGTGTATTCAAATTCACCAACCCTGAACAGACAGACAAGCAAACAAACGACAGTCACAGATATATTAGTATAGATTGCTTCATGGTGTTCTTAATGTTAGCTGATCAAGTGGCGCTTCGCGGTTATATGTAATCTTTTATTATTCTTTAATCGATACTAAATTTCGTCCAATTTGATTATTTAACATATTGACTATTGACACCATTTTGTGTCACCGATTTTAGTCGGATCACAACCCCCAGATCTGTGACTATTTCTTGGGGAACAAGGTTTGACGATGGTTTCTGATAGAAGGGACCCTATTGAAGATATCTGTAGTTTGCTACCTCTGAAAAACTACGCGCTAACTCCAGGAGAGCGGAAGCGAAAATCCTAGATGGCGGCCAAAACTTTGTGTTTCATATACTTTCCATGCTCAA